CTGAAAAGAATGTGTAAGTCACAGTACATATAAAACTGTACATTTTATTGCATTTCAAGAAAAAAAAACCAAACTTAATATCATGTTACTTGCTAAACGAAACGTATCTTCAAAAGCCACTTGATTGAAAACTATTTATAAAAAACATAGTTAAACAAAAGACACACGCATGAACAATTTTTCATTGGTTTTAACCAAAACAATTCCCCAAATTTATCGAAACTTCCCTTCAAGAGAGAGGAATCTCACTAATTCAGCCCCTTCCAGGATTTTCAAATTTCTTCGTTGGAGGTAAATATCGTGATGGTGTCCTTGTGTTCAGGAAAAGGATTCGTACTTGTGCTCAGTCCTTGTTCTTCCCTTTTTTCTTAACACTATATCTCCTACTTCGATCATGTTCTGGATCTTATGCTTTAGTACCTTATAGGGGTAAGTATATGGAAAAATGGAAGTGGGGTAGGTGAAAGTCTCTTCGGGCATATTTACAAAAGACGGTACAAAAGCAACCTGGGTATGGGATAAAGGAGGTGGCTGGTGTTCTATTTCAAGTTGACCAATAGGCAAGGGATCATACTGGACACCCTACTAGCAACCAATTGGTCAATCATGCGCCTTTGAGCCGTCATCTCCACGCTCAATTCATTGAATTTATGTAACATCTCACTCAATTGAGCTCCCAAATTTGAAGCGTCTGTTGGAGGTGCCGTGGTGGATCTATCAGATGATTCCGGATGTGTACTCATGTTTACACGATTTCTTAAAGCTCGACTACGAGATCGTATAACGATGGGGCTTCTTCTTGTAGCTATATTTGAAAAACACCTGACATTTTAGAAAACCCTATTTAGCATCATCTCTTGACCTGCTGTTGGCAAAGCAAAAAAAAGAAAGAAAAAGACACGAGTTAGTATATATTGAGGTAATTTGGATGCATGCCCTATTGGGGGACCCTTTTTACGCCAAGGGTTGGCCTAGCATGAAAATACAATCCTTTGGGGTAGGTACTATACAATACCTAATGAATCCGATCAACTTATTGCTATTCGATTGGAAGGTAATTTGAAAATTTTGGCCAATTGAACGACCGGAGATTTCTAGCCTGATAGAACAAAGGTAAAGTCCGAATGGATTGATTGTTTTGATTGATACAAGAATTTGTAAAAACACACCGATTTGACCTTAAAGAACTTTCTATCGGAGAGATTGAAATTTGTTGACAAATTTTCTCAATGAAACATGGATCGAACCCCCAACCGATCAAATGGCTAGATGCAATGGATGGTTTTCTCAAAATCGACTAGGTTTCCCACTTTGAAATTTGACATTGAAACCCTTCTTGGTCAAATGGGTTGAATGAAATTGATGATTCGCTAAAAATAGACTGGCTCACCTAATCGATAAAAACCCTAATTTGACATTTTGTTGCCAACGCATTAGTCTATAAGCCTTCTACAATCAAGATTTTGGTTTTGATTCATTTATTGTCTCAATAATGAGGAGTCATTCATGAATTTATTCAATTTAAGGCCCTTTATGCAAAGGATTTTACCAATTTGATAAAATGGGCCAAAAAAAATGAGTATTAGAGGCTCATATTCTAATGTACAAAAGATCGCTCTATGAAAATGATCGGGTCCTAAGTTACCTTGTGCACTACCTCTTCGGATGTTACAAAAATGTAAACGTGCAAGTTTCCTTGGATTAAGTATCCGAGACAAAAGGGTGGATTATTCCTAATATAGGATTCTCTCTATGGTTTATGCATGATGCTAGCTTATTAAAGTGATTAAATATGAAACATGACCTAAAAAGGACCCTTTTATATGCTAGGGTAAGGCTAAAATGATATGCAATTATTAGACTACAAATGCAATGAATCAAAGTTTAAACGTGCCAAAACCTATCTAAGAAGCTAGGCTCTAAAAGAGTACCATGTCCAAACTCTTATTTTCTAATGTTTGTGAATGCAATAGATGAGAAAACAAAGAAATGTTAGTTCAACACATAACACGTTAAGTAATTAGATGATATCGAAGGCGAAAGGAAAGAGAAATAAGGAAAAAGGGGTGGAATCCCTCCCTTCATGCCTAGTGTTCCTAATTAGGTATGGTCAACTCTATCCTAAGCGATTTCTAATATGGATGCATGAGATTTAGCTCACTAATGCATCTAGACTCAATAAGGTTTTCAGGCTCCCAAACCTTCAGACGAAAGGTGAAGGGTCATCAATCCCAATGCCTAAGAGTCGGTGGTTCGAGTGATACCTTGGATATTGCTGCGCGCACGTCGTACCACGGCCACATGTCCAAGTGGATCAATCCTAATCCTAATTAGGGAAGAGTGGTATGACAACCACTAAAAGTAAAAAAAAAAGATGAGGGGTTATAAAGTAAAATGTATGCATGTATGAAATGCTCCTTTTGAAGGGAGGAATTTAAATACCATCAAATACGGTTGAAGGTTCTAGGGTAGCTATCCCCTTCCCACAAGATGCAAGCACAATATATAAATATAAGTGAATAAACACATTATTTATCACATTCACGGATATCAAGATTATTACGCGTGCAGAATGCAAGAAAACCCTAAAAAGGAAAAATGTAACGTAAAACCTCCAAATGTGATATATAAAAAGGTTAGAAAAAGAAAAGGATTGACTAAATCAAATGCTCGGACTCTCTAAGCCCCCAGCGGAGTCGCCAAGCTGTTGCACCCCATTTTTGAAAATAAAATAACATGTTATAAAAATGAATTTTTGTTCAGTTTGAGAGAAAATGATGAGTTTTTTATTTTTAGAAAATAAATAAAGAAAATGGGCCTAGAATGGGACTAGAAAGTGTGACGATTTTAGCCCAAATTAAAAGTTTAAAAAGGATTTTTTTAAGAAAAAATAGGAGTCGCCACTTGGTATTGAGTTAAGGTAAACCAAGTCACCAAAATAATTTTTTTAAAGAAAAAGTAAAAGAAACCCTTTTAAAACGACTCTAAATCTACGAAAATCAAGAGAAAGGGGGTCAGGAGTCACATTTGAAGAAAGGGAATGCAAGGATAAAATCTAAAGCACCCTTTCAATTTAGTCAAAGCTAGTTGCGTGATTTAGTTAAAAACTTTCTTATTTTAACCTAAGAATTTATCACATTTGGATGTCACTATATGAATGCAAAACCTAACCCTAGGAGTATATTGGGGGGGGGGTCGAAATATCTCTTCAAATCTTAATTGGTACAAATCACATTAATTATGATGCCCAAGTTGAATCTTTGAAGAGGTCACGAATATGCAAAAATATGATACTCGAAGGAAAGAAAAGAAAGTAATAATTATACAAATATACATGATCTAAAGGAATGCAACATAACGGGTGCGGGGGACTAAAATTCGTGAGGGAATACGAGCGTGCTAAGACTTGAAAAAGCCACACTCGTCCATATCCCATATTCGAGGGGTATTTTCCTATCTAATCAAACAAATGATCTAGCCTAGTTCTAATTTTCTTAAATGGAATGCAAGTCTAAATGTCATGTCTCACACGTAGGGATAAGGGATATACATATAGCGGGAATGTGATAAAGGATATACATATAAGGGAATGTCATGCAAAAATGAAGAAAAAAACCTTAAAAGGTAGAAAGTATGCATGAAATATAGTGATTTTGTTCACACAAATATGATCTAACACGAGGACGGTTCTTAAGGGTCTAGCATTGGACTAACCCATGTCTATAAGTTCTCACTAGCGTTGGACTAGTGAGAAATTAGAAAGGAGAGCCACAACTAGCATTGGACTAGTGTGGAATCGGGAAAAGAGGTCACAACTAGCGTTGGACTAGTGTGGTGACGTCATGCATTTATTATAATCAAGTAAATCGCACAAAACACAACAAAGCAAATAAACACATAAACCACATAAAACACATAGCACATAAGCATGATATCTAGATGCAAGACCCTAAGAAAGCGGTAAACACTTAAACACAAACATGCAAGCACACACAAGCAAATAAAGCAAATAGATACCTATCTATTACATTTGGGAGCCCTAACTACAATCTAAAGGGGGAAAGAATAAAATAAATAATAAAATAAATACCTAACTATTACAATTTGGCATTTAATCGCCTTTCAAATAATCAAAAATTAAATTAAATAAATATACAAAAATTAAAATAAATAAAGTGAATAAATAAATAAATGAAGTAATAAAAACATTCAAGAAAAAGCAAACAATTACACACATAAAATCACATAGGAGCACATAGGATCAAGTAAAATCAAAGTAAAGGAGTAGAGTGTACCTCCCTTGAATTGGTGACCTAATGAAATGAAATTTTTCTTATTTATCCTCCAAAATAAAGAAAAAGGTCAAGGCATCACTTTAATTAATAAATAATCACATGAAATGGAAATAAACACGAAATTGAATCAATCCTAGTATTCAAATGAAAGTAAACAATCCATATTCAACAAATTAAAACAAACAAAGACTCAATTGAAAGAATTAAGAAAATTTAAGCGGGTCAAATCATTATTATTACAAATATTAGGGGCAAAATTAAAATAAAATAAAGTTAAGGATTTAAAATGAAACCTACCAAAACTAAATGCTAAAAGTTCACAAAATAAATCAAGATCCTCTCATCAAACCCCAAAACAATAATATTACCCAAATATTTAATTTTTTCACTAAAATCCAAATAAAACTATAAACCTAGCAAGAGTTATTAAACCTACAAATTTCATCCTAAATTCACTAAAAATCTATCCAAAAATCTCATTAAATTATATGAAAGAAAAATAACATGTTAAAAGGATAAAATTGATTAAATTTTTCAATTTTCTGAGCCATAGTAGAATAAGGGAAAACTTGAGGGGTTAAACTGCAATTTTATGAAAAATTTCATGCAAGCTTCAAATGCAATCTGCGATTCTGGGTTTCTGAATGCCAACTCTTTTCGTTCAAACGCAACTCATGACTCAACCAGCTAAAACTTGAACCAAAGTGAAACAAACACCGAGCATTCTTTCCACTTTTTGACCATTGTTTAAATACAAAAATTCAGAGAAAAGAGAGCACGCAAATTCTGGCAAATTGCTGCAACTCCAAAAGCCTTCTGCAAGTTTCTTCTGGGTTTATTCACTACTCAATAAACTCTACCAATACTCACCAACATTCGGCCTAAAGCAAGACTACAAAGCCCATTCTCTACCCAAAACTTCAACATTTAAATACAGAAATTCTAAACAAACTGTTTAGCTATTCTCACGAAGGAAACAAAACGGAAAAAATGATAAATAAATAGTTTCGCACAAATGTGCTAGGTGATCAGCTGTTGAATATCTTGGTTGCTAGAAGAACCCTGTTAGTTGCTCTTAGCTCACATCTAAAAATCTAGTACAAGTACGCAATCCTAGAACCCCATTCTTTGGGTAAAAACCCTTCATCAATGCTGGGAGTTCTTCATAGGAATAGATATCATCGAGGAAAACTTTTGGCTGCAACAATGATGACTACAGATGCCCAGTTAGACTATAGTACCATAGAGGTCATCAGGGATTTCGTCATCCTCAGAACAAAACAAGCAGAGCACCTTGCGCGTATATTTCTGCTCCCGCCAAAATTGTCCCAAATCAGTGTAATCTGCTGAACAAGCAAGGAATTAACATGTTAAGGTACAGTTTTTATCAACATGGGCCTCCATGGAATCTCCTTCAATTGTCTATTTGAAGAGATTTCAACTCTGAATTATTTTAATTCTAACACACTTACAGAATGAGAAATACATACTGGAAACCATATTTTGTCAAGTATATAGCACTGGTCCAAACGTCTTAGTAAACCCTTCCAATAAGACAATGCCACCTCCCGTAGTAATTTCAGCTCCTCTCTAAAAATTGAATGAATTGTAGATATCATCCTTCAAATTCCTCTATACAACAGAAACCAAATATTACAAGTGTGTACAAGGATAGAAGATTATTTGGAAAAATTACAATTGCTACAGATGATGAGCATCAAAGATAATATGGTTCGGCAGTAGTATTATCGTAATCATGAAAACCAAGCAGAAAAATCCATCTTCTTGGCATGCCTATTAATATCTTTCAGTTGTCTTGACGACAACAAAAAAAAAAAAAAAGGAATTTGCTACAAATTCCAATATTCATCACTTTGCTTAATTACATTCGCTAGTAATTATAAATTGATTAACTAAGATAAGTCTGACAACCAAATTCAATGAATAACTTTGCACTACGAGTACAGTTTAAGACATCAGAAGTAGTCAAAGAAATTATACACAGACAAGCCAAGGAGAAGAAAAGCGAAAGGAAAAGGAAAAGGATGATGAAGCTTTTGTAATATAACGACCAGAGAACAAAGCAGGGCACACCTTGGAGTAACTTGTTTCTCATGGTTATGTTTATTCTTTTTTCCCAATTGCTCTTTACGTCGTATAGATAAGCTTATGATACAAATAAAGGGCCTACAAACCAGTGTACAACAGTGTCCATATTGCACCCTAAATTTTTTTCATTTCCACTTTGCACATCAAAGTTTAATTTTGGACACATCATCTTAAAGTTTCTGATGCATATCCATTTTCCCCAAATCACTGAAAATGTAAACAAAAAACAAGAATTCGTGCATCTGAACTTCACACCAGTCTAATGTGCATGGTAATTTTTCATTTCCTGAAACTGGTTCCAACAGTTGAAGCTAAACTGATGGTCAGATATGTGAATCCATGTTTGATTTGGTTGACCTTTTAAACCACTGGATGCAACCGGAATACGTGTTGATGTAAGACAAGATAGGTAATATCTTACCTATCAGCATCAGTGGAAGAATGGTAGGATATTGGGGCCACGAACCATGGGGACAAAGAGGTCAGAAAAACAAACAACAAAACAACTAATAAACCAGAGACTTAATTCTTCAGTGTAGCATATGTAGAAACACAGGTACTTATAAGCTATAAACTTTCTCAAAACTTCCATTTCCTATTTTAACAATTGGTCCAATTGGTTACCTAATATATAAATGCCTAAAAAGACTCAACGATGCTATTACTGAAAATCTACTGCAAACAAGTAAAAAACGAAAATAGCCCAAGCTCCAAAATCCTAGAAACTACTAAAACTTAGGTAACGAAACCATAATGAACATAAATAAACTTCAGGAAAACCACAAAAAACCTGGAAGCCCAGATTTCCTTTAACTCTTTATTGACTGCATTATTGTCCCTGATTGGATAAATCTCAACCTAGAGTTTTAAAGATTCGTAGGAGGAAGAACTTGAAGGTCTGGAATGAGCTGAAAGAAGAATTGCAACTCCAAGAACTACTCTTGCCGTGTACTTGAGGGAGCAACAGTTAAAGCTGGGGCTTTGTAGAGTGAATATTGCTGAACTCTCCAAGGACCAAGTGAATTTTTGGAGTGAATAGGCTAGAAAAAATTCTTAGCATTGTTCCAAAACTTGCAGATCTATGATGCTACAAAGCCTCTTACTGTCTTTCATATGGTTGATTGCAGCAAACTCATCCAGCTTTAACTGCTTGACCTGCTCAGCTGAAATAGTGGCCTCCACTTAATTTCTACAACTTCCTTCACTCCAGAATCCTCGTATGCGTCTTCAAAAGTTTTTAGAGCCACTTATGTTTTCTCCTCAACAAGCTCGTCAAGTTCAATGGTCAAGTTTGAAAGTTCAGGCACTACCGCCCCCAATCGACTGCCTTCCCTGCAATATTATCGAATCTTCTAGCCATATCGTCTAATTTAGCAACACAAGATTGTAAAGCATCAAATTTTCTATCAGATACTTGCACTTTAAATTTGAGCAAAGAAACTTCATTTTGGGTACCCTCAAAGTCTTTCAAGAAAGGTCCAAACTTTGAGGAAGTTTTGCATTGGTAGCCATATTGATAGAACAAAAAATATGCCTGAACAAACAAGAAAGTTTGGGCTCTTGATACCCAGCTGATGTCGGACAAGATAGGTGAGATCTTGGGTACTAGCAATAGCAGAAGAGTGGGAGGTTTGAGGGGCTGTTTTGGGGCTGTGAAGAGTACTCTTGAATAGGAGCATGGGAGAAATAAAAAAGGGGAAGCAGGAAAAAAATTTATGGGGGCAAAGAAAAAAAACAAAATAATAAAGCAAAACTGAAATTCTTATTCATCAATTTTTCTGCATAGATTAATGTTAAAAATTAGTAGTTATGAGCAACAAACTCTCCTAAAACTCCTATTTCTTCTTGTAAAATAGCAAAGTATATTGTTAATAAATCTTTACTTAGGAACTTTCCTATGACAATTGACTCCAATTAGTTACCTAATATTATAAATAACTAAAAGAGGTTCAATGACACAATTGCTGGAATTTCCTGCAAACAAGTGAAAGACCAACCAACATTCTAGGAAATGCTAAAACTTAGGGATGAACCAGGCTGTTAATATTCACAGGATGTGAAGTTGAAACTTGAGGAAAATCATAAAACCTTTAATTCTAGATTTGCTTGATCTCTTTTTTGACTGCATCACATGTAGAAGTTTAGGGTGCAAATATTCCAACTTCAAAATCCTAGTTGCAAAGTGAAAACTATTAATGGTAGAAAGTGGAATTCATCCGGTGAAAGTCTTAGGTACTTGCATGTTGTGGTGGACATAAAATTCAAGGTACTTGAGAAACTGCAAATATGTTACCTCAACTATGGTATGATGCCACCATAAGATGATTGCTCACATTAGGCAGATTATACAGATGGATCAATTTTCAAATCGTTGAAATATGCAGGAAATCCTCCAGTTGGATTCTGTGTCCCAAATCATAATACTGTTCTTTTATCCAATTCACCTGCATAGATCCTAAAAATTCATTAGTTCCTGAAACACCAAAAAGGCAATGCTTTTACATAGTAGTTTGCTTCTTTTATTGGTCTTCTCTTGTTGTAACATCAGAGATCTGTTCTATAACTCCTCTAATGAAACAAAAAAGAAAGTTTCATAAATTCAACCCTCTTTTTGTCAATGTCAAAATGTTTGACCCCTTAGTCTTATATTTCATATCTGACGGACTACATGGTCAAGAAGCCAGATCCATGCCTCCTTCCTGTACATAACCTCTCTTGTGTCACTAGCATACACTAGGCAGAAGACATGTTGATGTAGCCAAACAGCTCAAAGCACAGAACAACTTATAAGTTTTTGCAATTGCATTCAAGCATTAGGTTCACATACCTAGGAGATACAAAATACTTTAAAAGTTTTTATTTTGTTAGAATATTTTAGTAGAATATTGAATTGGTTATTTTGGAATCTTCAGCAATATCTTGTCAACAAATCAAATTAGTAATTTAGTTATCATTTAAATTTAGAAATGGAATCATATTCTTTTGACGTACATCCAAAAAAAGAGAAGAAATACTGGTTGTCAAGGTGGAAATAGGTCTATGAGCGTATAAATAATGTACTCCTCCTCCAAAAGAGATCGAAAAGATTTCATTTAGATAAACCTGCACATTGTAAGCATCACCATCAGCATTCTGCTATGCATCTTTCCATGGATGCAACGCCTTAAATTCAATGTTCAAGGTTATCAGGATGATTCCTTGAGTTTTCTTCTTCTTTCATTGAAGTTTAAAGCAATTCTTTTGTAATTTAAGTGCACTTATACCATTCAATAGCAATTGAGCTACTAAATTATCAGCATACCAGCAGATTTGTGCTGCATCACATGCTAATCTTTAATGCCCATCCTTTTCACAAATACAAACATAATAACATGCTTCAGTCCTTGTAACCACAGTTGTAATTTCCTCCCACAAACAACGGCAAAACAAAAAAGCACAAGCGAAATGGACAAACGAAAAAGAACAAGAACATGAAATTGTCATACCTAACAGGTGCTGAAGGCATCAGACATTCTCATGCTGAAGAAGCAAAACCTTCACTTGCCATTATCCTTTAATAATCTTCAAGTAGGAGTATATTTCTTCTCTCACAATCTGAAGCTGCTCTGTTCACAGTATATCTGAAAATTATGAGCATTTTACCCACAAAAACAACCTGATGATATGCCTACTACTTATTTTTGCTTCAATGGAGCACTAAATAAACAGAAGAAATACTACATCCAAGTTAAAATAGAAATATAAAACAAACACAGACCTTCCAGCATTCCAACCGAAAAAATCACCAGAAGCTAGTCCTTCAGATCTTGCAAAAATGTAATCCAGCTTCATTCATATATCACTCCTCATCCAATTTGAGTCCATCTAGCCTGAGAAACCAAAACAGCAAACTGCACTAACAATCTCATTGTGATGCCCAACAGATCTACCTGACACAAGACACCACTGCATCTGGGGTCAGGTTCGAATCAGTTGTAAATGCACTCAAAATTGCAGGAAAACAGAAAAATCAATGGAAAGAACAAGTCATCCACCATAATTAAATAAAATAAAGCATTTCCTAAGCATGGTAATATTGCAGATATACATTGTCATTCTGTACAATTTAACATTTAATTGAGCAACTTCCCCATTGCACATGAAAGAGCAAGACAAAAAAGATGAACTGAAATGAGCATTATAATTATGAAGTCTAGGTATCTCATCCTTTTGCCAAAAAGAGGGTGGGGACTTAACAGTTCAGGAGTCTTTCCCAAATGGCCCACAAAGCACTGTATTCCATGCATTTTATTTTGATGACACCCTAACCATAAGTTTTGACTGCTGCACTCCCAAACCATGCATTTTTATAAAGTTTCCACCTTGACTAAAAGTGTAACTTGGGTCTGACCAAAAGTTCACTGCATAAGATGGTTACCTTTTAATGTACCATATTATTTGTGTACTTGATCCATCTAGAGAGCATCCAATGAGCCAATATGGCAATAGACCCTACTTGCAGGTTCTAAAGCATGTCGCTGAGTATCTTCTGAAGAGATTCAAGTCAACATCGTCCCTTGATCTACTCCAGCTTGCCTGAGAACAATCATTGTATTATTTACTCATAGACTTGTCGAAAAATCAAGAAAGAGGAGGTAGTCAAATCCATTGACATATATAATTCAACTTCAGTTATTTAAGATGCGACCCGAAAATTTTTCCACAATATTTTTATAAAAGCTACAAAAACCTACCACACTTTATTGGCAGTTCAGTCTTCTTGCGCAACTGCAGAAGGTTGGTGCAAACGACTGACTAAAGAAGTATATATAGCATCATCTACTTTAAATCCTGTTTGCAACATGTTATCGCATAACTTGAAGGCCTCTTCTATTTTTCCTTCTTTACAAATTCCATTTGTTAGTATACTGTAAGTGACAGAATCTGGAATAATTCCATTCTTTACCATCTCAGCAAGTAGGTGAGTTGCTTCTTTCATATTCCCAGACCTACAATACCCATCAATAACTACAGTGTAGGTAATCTCATTAGGGTGAATGTCACATAAAGACATTTCCTGCAGGAGTTTCCTTGCTTCATTCATTTGACCTAGCTTACAGTAGCCACCAATTAGTGCAGTATAACAGACAACATTAGGTACCAAGCTGTCCGTTCTCATTTCATCAAAAAGGCTTTTGGCATCCTCAACACAACCAGTCTTGCACATTGCATGTATGAGACAAGAATAGGTAGCACATGTAACTAGGATGCCTTTGATTCTCATTTCATCACGCAGTTTAATAGCTTCTGTTATACTCCCATTTCTACAATAACCTCCAATCATTATATTATAAATAGTGGAGTTTAACTCAATATTGTGTCTGCTCAACTTATCAAAGAGAATTCTGCCCTCTTCAACTTTTCCAGCTTTGCAGAATCCATCTATCATGATCCCATGTGTATAGGCATCGGGAACAAGGCCAATCCTTTCACATTCATTCCAAAGCATCATTGCTTCCTCAATCTTTCCCTCCTCACAAAGCCCATGCATCAGCAAATTGTATGTAACAATGTCCGGTACAATCCCCCGCTTAACCATTTCTTCTCTGAGTTTAAATCCACCATCCAACTCTCCCTCTCTGCACCACCCATAAATGAGTGTGTTGTAAGTGATTCTGTCTAGTGGCACATTTCTTTCTAACATCTCTTTAAGAAGCCTAACAGCATCCTGCATCCTACCAGCTTCACATAGTCCATGAATGAGAGCATTTGAGGCTACTGTATTGACTTTAAAACTTTTCTTCAGCAGCAGGAACCAAAGCTCCACTGCATCTGAATGGTTCTTGTTCTTGCAGAGCCCCTTAATTAATCTGGTCAGTAATGTGTCATTTGGTTTCATATTTCGCAATATCATTTCCTTTGTGAATCGTAGCGCAGAGCCCAGCTCTGACTTTTTACATAACTCATGAATAAAAGAAGTAAAGCCACCAGCATTCATGCACAACCCTTCCGATAACTTCTCCTCTACCAGCTGTACAGCTCGATCAATTTGATTTACCTTGCAGAACCCACTGACAAGCGAACCAAGAGTAACTGAATTAGGAACTAAGCCATGAATTATCATATTATCCCTTAACTTTATTGCACACTGAATGTCTCCAATTCTGCAATAACCATCTATGAGAGTGTTATAAACAATCACATTTGGCACAAATCCTGTGTCAATCATTTCCTTCAAAACAATGTTTGCTTGATCAAAATTCTCAAGTTTTACCAAAGCATTAATAAGCGTACTGTACGTAACAATACTAGGTTTTACACCATTGTTAACCATTTTCTCCTTGAATTCAAAAGCTTCCTCTACATTGTGATTCTCGCACAGACCATGAATAATATTATTATAAGTAACAACATTTGGAGCAACACCCATCTCCTCCATTTTTTGAAACAACCTCATTGCATCCTCAACCCTTCTTCCTTTACAATATGCATTGATGGCAATGCTAAACATAAAAACATCTGGAACAAAGCCTGAGCACAGAATATCAAAAGCCTCATAACTCTTGTGAAGCTCATTCGCTTTGACAAGAGAACTCAACACAAAAACACCCGTTCTCAAAGAGGGAAACAACCCCCTTCTCGCCAACATACAAATCACATCCAATGAAGAATTCAAGCCACCCGAAACCTTAAATTGAGATGCAAAAACATGAACCAACATGTCAAGTATCCTAACATCAACCTGAGAATTTCCCATACTTAAATCAGCAAATAAAGCAGCGAGCTCCAAATGCTTACCGTTATCACCATGACCATCATTAATTCTCAAATTATCACAAAAAACATTCAATTTTCCATCGATCAGCCTTATCAAAAGCAACCGGGCAGCTGAGTCAAGGTTGGAAATAACAAGGAGACGAATCAAGATACAATACGATCTAAGACTAAATCTAAAACCACAAGAATTCGACGAAAAATAAAAGAACTTCAAAGCAGCTAAAGGTTTCACAGTCTGATGAATGTCAAGGAAAATACCCTCAAATTGCAAAGGAGACAAAAGGGTCAGCAAATCTTTACACTTGGAAAAATCTAAACGCTCTTTTGATAAAATAGAACTAACCCACTTCGCCAAATTGTTTCGTTCACCAATTCCAACCTTTTCCTTATCGATCCATTGTTCTTTCCCTGATAAAGGCTTAGACTTTGGTATTGGCTTAGTCAGCTGTGGCTTCTGATGTTGTTGCTGTTGTTTCTCGGGTTGGTTGTTACGGTTAGAATGGATATTGTCTTGGGCTGTTGATGTAATTAAAAGGCGATTGATAGGTGGAAACAGCAACTTTGTAGCTTTGTGAGCTCTCAGTCTTGTAATGTCCATTTGAATGTGTGGATTGATTATTGGGGTGTGTACTATGTGATAGTGTGCTTTTGGGAAGAGGATGTCTGAAGGGGGGAAAAACGGTTCCTTCTAGGCAGAGAGGAACGAAGTGAGAAGAGCTAGGGTTGGCGGTGGCGGCGGTGAAGACCCTGGATGGCAGAGTGCCATCAGGGGAGGGTGGCGGTTAGACGAGGAAGAAGAGCGACGCAGAAAGAAAAGGGAAGTTAAGGCGGAGAACTCTGACTGGCTACTTTAGGGCCAGGATCGGATGGGCCAAGATGATGAATTCCATTTTTTTTTTCTTTTACTCTTTTTCTATTTGGTTAGATTGGAAAATTAGCTATTTAGGTGCTATTAATTTACATTTCTTTAAATTTTGATTGTTGTAAATTAGTTTTACTGAAATTAACTATAGTTGAGGGAAAAAACTAGGATTACACATTGTTTTATATAATTTCTTCTTGGGAATTTTTGTGACATGGAATGCGGAAAATATACCTTTTTTTTTATATAAAACAAATAATCAGTTTTATTTATAAGAAAAGCGTGCATACACAATAAGGACCACAATCACACATACCCAACCATCCTCCTAAAAAACTATGGAAACCCAACCTATCTATTCGAATATCTCCCTGACCAACCGTGGGAGATCGGAAAACTTATTAAATACCTGCCCTACTATCGAGTCTACACCACCATTTGCCAGGCGGACCGCTGGCGAATTTGCCTCGCGGTCCGCTGGCGAATTTGCCTCCCTGTAACAGTGCGATATCGTTCGGAAGTGGTGTTTAAACTGAAGCAAGTCATCCAGCTCCCTCTGCAAGTGCCAAGGGCAAGCACTATCCCCTTGAACGATCCGAACAAGTGTAAGTGAATCTGCCTCCAAGTGTAACTCCAAGTACCCTCGGGCAATACAATATTGGACGCCTAACAGGAGCACTCGCAACTCAGCCTGCAGACTGGTCAGTGTACCTAAAGGCTCCGAGTAACCAAATACAAAATTCCCATGAGAATCCCATACCAGCCAATCCCCACCACTCAAACCCGGGTTTCCCCGACAACACACCCATCTGAATTCAACTTCCACCCTTCCTGCAGAGACACCCATCTCACCGGTTGAATGTGCATCCTCCCCTGTCGGCTCACCACCTCGCGAAGCAACCCTTCCCACGAAGTTTCCACCCACTGCATCCTCGGGAATCGTGTCTGAAAGATCTCAACTAGCATTTGGACGATTCGATTCACAGCATCCCTGACCCGCATTCGCTGCCCTCCAAACACTCCCTTATTCCTTGCTTGCCATAATTCCCAGCAAACCACCTATCACGCCCCGGGCCCGCACGTGCCCGTCACATGACATTCGCCGTACTCCCAAGTCTCACTCAAGAATACAAGGCTACATTAACTAATTTAACTTTAAAGGTACTAAATAATTTAACTAGATAAAGTGCGGTACAAACCACGTATGAAAGAAAGTCTACAAATGTTCAAGACGTTCGTACATTTATTCTCTGATTGAAACAGCGGATAAAAAAGTAAATAAAACTAACAACTAGAAGTAGCTAGCTTGCCAACTTTTTTCATCTAAAACTAATACAAGTCATCCTCAGGGTCTTCTACGTAAACCAATTCATACTCTTCAGAATCTGCAAAAATGATAAGAAGTGGGTTGAGCGACACATCGTTCAGTAGGTAATATTTACCCCTCTGTTGGACCATGCACTCTTAGTTTTATAGATACATATATATATATAAGTACAACTCAAATCGTTTGCAAATCATTCACATCCATAATTTTGAAAGTAACGTCATTTATAAAACAATCAGTAGTAAAGAATGACAAGGAATTTAAAAGCGCTTTATTGATACCCATACATGAGAAATCGCAATGTCATAAATCACTTTGTAACAATTCATAAGTCTCTTCATATCCATTCATGAATCATCCCATAAAACGTCGCATATCCGTTCATTGATCATTTCAAAGCAGTTCATAAATCATTCATATCCGTTCATAAATCTTCTTTCAGTTCAACTCATAACAAGTACATGCAATGACCGGCTACTGAGTACTCAGCCTAGAGATTTTACCCCTTCTAGGTGGGCGACCAATAGGTTTCATGACTACCGATTGGTCTCATTTCATACATGGGTCAATCGGCCGGACTTTATACCAGACTACCCTGACCTTGTCAATCTGCTGGACTCTATACCAGGCTACCATGACTTTATCATTCGGTTAATCGGCTGGGCTTTATACTAGGCTACCCTGACCTTGTCAATGAGCTGGGCTCTATACCAGACTACCATGATTTTATCCATCGGTCAATCGGCTGGGCTTTATACCAGGCTACCATGACCGTTATACAGGACTATAGCCCCTACCGTCTATCCCATGACTGTTTTGAGCTTTACTTGTCAAAAATTCATTCCACACACCACATATATAAATCTTTGATTACATAAAAGATTCAACTCATTTGGTATATAATAACATATCAAAACATTTCAAATAAGTCACATGGTCCTTTTTGTATAGTAAAATATAACTTTCATAAATATCCAAGTAAAGCATTTAATCAAACACCTTTCGAGTCAACACAACAAAATAGGATTGAAAACAAGAATTTCATTTTGCACATTTGAAATCTCAGAAAGATAAGTGTAGACACCAAATTTTAGTGTAATTTCATTTACTATTTATTTTTATAGTTTGTGCTCGTTTTATTCACTTTTTAGTTTTTAGTTTTTTTAGTTTTTTGTGTTATTATTATTATTTTTAAGTTTTAGTATAGAATTTCTCGAAAAAGAAAAGAAAAGCATTCAAAAAATATGTTTTAATTGTTTTGATTTAAATACAATGTTTTCTTGGAAAAAATGGAAAAAAGAGAAAAAAGAAAAATCATAAAAAGGAAAGCAAAAAAAGAAAAAAGGAAAATTTGCTCACAAAAATATGTTTATTCCTTTAAATTCAATCTTTGGGCACTTTAGTTATTTTTATTAAGTTATTTTGAGAAAAAGAAAATGATGAAAAGTGAAAAAAATTGAAATTTTTAAAAATAGCCATTTTTTGTTTAGTTTCTTTTGTTTAAAATTATTTTTGTTTTGTTATTATTATTATTACCTGGTTTGTGTATTTTTGTTATTATTATTTATATTTTTGTAATTTTTAAGTTGCCTTCTTAAAAAAAAAAAAATAAATAGAGCCACACGCAAACTGCATTTTTTTTTTTTTTTTTTTTGCAGTTTGCAAAGGAGGACTTGTGCGGCTCCTTAAGCTGCAATATGGTGGCAATGTTTTAAGGGTTTAGGAGGGGGGTTGATGATATAAATAGCAAAAAAAGAAGGGTAGCCGCAACGGAGAGTTTTTTTGGGGGAGAGCATCGAGAGAAAAAAAGCTGAGCGAGGGTTTTGGGGAGTAGGGAGTTGCAGGGCAAAAACAAAGCATAGAGAGTTGATGACGGCTGAGGAAAGGAAGAGGGCAGAGCATTGAACGGCGGTTGGAGTTTTGAAAAGAGAGAGAGGGAGCTGGCAGGAGACAGACGCGAACATTTCTGGAGAAACCCACGGCTTCACCTGCATTTCTCCGATCATTTCACGCTCAGATTTGCCTTTTAAAGGGTTAAAGCAAGCTTGAATTACATGTTGGATGCTTAGTTACTCCTGAATCTGTTCGAAATTTTTGCTTGGCCGAAAGATGGGTTGCAGATTTGTCGTTCATAGGTAACATCAGTTTTTGTGTGTATGTAGGCTCTTTTCTTTTGCTTATTTTGGGTTCAACTTTGGGCAAGGGGGGAAGCCTTAAAATTTGCAGAATGTTGAAATGATTTTATGTGTGTTATCTTGCTTCACGGGAGTTTGTTGGGCTGGATTTGCATGCTTTTGCTTTCTGGATTTTTGCGTATCAAAGACGAAAAGAAGGCTTGGTTGTCTTGTTGTTTAATCTGAATGTTTGGGTGGTGGAGGTGTTAGTTGCGTTGGGGGGATGGGAAATTGTTTGAAAAGCTCAGACCTGTCACAAACCCATAAACCAGCAACTAGGAAAGTAAAGCTTCGACCATGCTGCATTTTCGACTCATGTTTTGCTGCTTTTCCCTGGTCCCGTAACAACTCCTAGAGTCGGTTTTCATCAAATTGTTTTGCATGGTCAATCTTATGTCCATAATAGTTGTATAGAGAGTGGTGAGGCTTGGGTTTAGTTCCAACTTTGGCCATTTTTCTGGTTTGTTAACAGCTGCAAAATGGTGAAAACAAAAAAAATTGATTGACCGAAACCTTCAATGCCCCAAGTTCATATTCTTTTGCTGATTTTGTACATTTGGATGATGTTAATAACATGGTTCTAAGGCCATTGCATGTGTGTTTATTTTGGTTGGACTTGTCCCATGTCAATGCGTTTGGATTGGAAACAAAAATTGCAGCAAACTTCATCTTTGCTTGTTGAATGTTTTGGATTGTTTGAAGGGTTTGATTCACTTGTGCTGGAGTGAGTTTAGGACCTGTTGTGAGTCCTTGTTATGTCATTGCATTCAAGCTCAAAGGAACCAGAATCCTCTTGATCATCTTGCAGCTATGCGAAGCTGTTTGCATCACTATTTGTTTTGGGTTGAATGAATAAGAAATTGCAGAACAGTTTTTCGGTTGTAAAAGTTCCTTCTTTGCATGAAATTTACATAATTTTCTTCTAAGATTTGTCTTGATTAAGAGTGTTTAGACATGTTTAAGGTAGAGCTATTGTAAGTTTTGGTTTGCTGAAAGGTTTGTAGGTAAAGCTTGCGGCTGGAATAATAGTTTTCGTTGCTGCAGAAACATTGCAGAAATCTTCTTCGTGCATGCATGAAATATTCTTCAAAATTGCCTCTTAACCCCCTCAAGTTTCTCTTTATGCTATTATGCCCCACAAAATGGAGAAAACTAATCAATTGGGTCCCTGTGATTTTTGCAGCAATGCATTATAGCTCAATTACATTCCATGTTCTTGCAATTGGGTCCTAAGATATTTGCATTTGAACCATTCCTCCACCTTCTCTTTGCCTTTGGACTTTTGAAGTTCCTAAAAGTGTTTGATTGAGTTTGAATGCTTGGGTAGTGTTCACAATTGAGTCTTTGATAGCTTCAACTTTGCAACTCGATTGCTCATTTGCTTTCATTTGTTTTGGTGATACTTAGAGCATGAATTTGTGAACCTTGTGTTTAAATGAGCTTATGCTTACCTATTTTCTTTAATTTTCTTAAACAAATTTGTTGCTTGACCTTCGTCTCGCTCTGGGACCT